TCCTGACTGGTGTAGAGTTTGACCCTTGCCCACTCTTACAGCTTTAGCTTTTTTTTTTTTAAAGATCTTTATTGGAGTATAATTGCTTTACAATACTGTATTAGTTTTGCTTCCAACCTCCATGAACTCTCCATATTAGTCAAATGGTCCTGTAATTTACAGTCAAATTTCAGTGTAAGCCTAAGAGAAAAGAGTTGAAGTAAGCATTTTTGTCATGCCATTGTCTTATTTCTCTAACTCTCAAAATCTCCAAACACCCATGTAAACTAAATGGAATGATCACAAATAAGGAAGGATGAGAATGGTGAGTATGTGATACTTTCTTCTTTATCCCACTTAGTTCATGGTTCCTTCCCCTCTTATTAATTGACCACAGAAATGCTAGATAGCATCAACAGTTTTTCTGTGTAATTCTTTCAGATTAAAAAACACTATTTGTAACAGTATATTCACTCATATTTAATTAAACTTAACAATTTTTTATTTGGGACTTGACTAGTTTCATTCAATTGCTGGGGGCAACTTTACTTTTTAATGTTTATTTTAATAAGTTAATAAGACAAACTTTCTTTTCCAGTTTGCTGTGAGTCCATCTAACTTCAGCAGCAGTGATTGTCAGGATGAAGCGGGCCGAAAAGGAAACAAACTTTACTACAATTTTCCGTGGGGAAAGGAGCCAATAGAAACCCTGTGGAATCTAGGAGATCATGAACTTTTACACATGTATCCTGAAAATGTAACTCAATTACACGTATGTTTTACCTTGCGTGCCTATGTATCCTTTACCCAGATTCTCTAACTATGATCATTTCTGAACCATTTGAGAATAAGCTGTAGACATGGTGCCCCATGACGTCTTAATACTTCAGTATGCATTTCTCAAGTACAGGGACTCCCCTGTATAACCACAATGCAATCATTATGATCAGGAAAGTAACAGTAATCTGCTATTATTCTCAAATCCACAGAACCCTTCAGATGTAACCAATTATTCTAATCTGCCCTTTATAGGTCCAGGATCCAATCTAGGATCCTGTATTTCATGTAGTTGTCATGTGTCCTTAGTTTCCTTCAAATAATTCCTTTTATTTTTCCTTGTCTTTCATGACCTTGACAGTTTTGAAGAGTACAGACCGGTTACTTTGTAGAATGTCTCTTGGTTTGAGTTTCTTTTATGTTTCCTCATGATTTATGTCTTTTTGCTAAGAATGCCACAGAAATGGTGCTACCCTCTTCTCAGTGCACCATATTGGCTTGTTACTGGTGATGTTAACTTTTATCTCTTGGTTAAGATGATGCTTCCAGGTTTCTCCATTGTAAAGTTGATAAGTATTTTGTACTTATTAATTGATGAGAAATTAATAAGCCTTTTGTGGGCAGATACTCTATGTAAATAACCTGTTTCTCACCAGATTCTGGCCTACTGGTTGCAACATCCATTGATGATTCTTGCCCAAATCGATTATTACTATGAGGGTTGCCAAATAGTAATTTTAAAAATTTCATCAGTCTATCTAGACTTACTGATCAATTTGTATTCTGATTCTGTAAGTGCAAAATGTAATTTTAAGAGGTAGTTCTGCTAAATGATGCTTTATTTTTGTTCTCCTTTTCTGTGAAGGGCAGAGATGGACGGAAAATTGTGGTTCCTTCTGTGTTATCCATAAATGGAGATCTAGACCGAGGCATGCTGGCATATCTCTACGACTCTTTCCAGCTAACAGAGAACTCCTTTACAAGAAAGAAAGATCTTCATAGAAAGGTGCTTTGATATTTCAGAGATAGACTTGGGAAATTAAAAATATAAATTTCTCTCCCTTTTTTTATGTTAGTGTACTTGGTTTCTAATATAAACTCTGAATAATAATTTTTTTTTAGTGCAAGTTATTTATTTTTCAGGTTTTTTTTTAGAATCTGGCCACAGGAATAATAAGCAGGTTCTCACAGAATAGAAGAAGGAATCCCTCTTGGGTAATCCCAAAGGCGTTTCTGTTTGAACTTGGGCAGCTGGACAGCTGTCTCTGATTCTTAGCCCCTGAGCCTTTTCACTTATGGCTTCTGCTTGTATCAGAAGCTGAGTGTTAAGTAGGAGTAAGTAAAACAGGCCAGCAAGACTTGTTATATTAACCTCTCTGCTTCTGGTCTGACCCCAAGTGGCTGATCACTGGATCACAGGAACTAGACATGGGTCTGGGTCAAGAGAAAGGCTTATTTTAGGATGTGCAATTTGAGCATTTTTATGGGCTCAAAATCAAGAGAGAAGAGGGGTTGAAGCTATAGGAGAGAAATGAAGTACCTAATGGAGCAAGATTTTCGAAGAAACAGGAAGGACCAAGACAGAATCAAGAACACAAGTTGGGGGGTTTTGTCTTGAAAAGGGAGTTACTTTTTGAAACAGCAGGGTGGAAAGAAACAATGGTATAGATACAAATAGGCTACTGGAGCTAGTTAGCCCTTGAAGGAAGTTTTACTCATATCCTCTATTTTCTTGGGGAATTAGGAAGCAATATTACTAGCTTAAAATGTGGAGGAGTAGGGGTTTAAGTGGCATGAGTTTAAAACAGTCATATTTCCCTTGAATGGGAAAGGGAGCTTCCCCAAATCAAAAGTTTTCATGTGTTGAGTGCTCAACTGGGATTAGACACCATAAGTTTGTAGCACCACTCTGCCTAGTTAGTGATTTATTATGCAGTGCCCGTTTAGCCTGATGTGGCCATTTATAGAATTGTTTGGGATTTATAGGGTGTGTGTAGCAGACAAACAAGGGGGATCCTTTCTTTTCTTTCTCTTACATACTGCATATCCAAACCATCAGCAAAACCTCTTTGATTCTGTCTTCAAAATATATCCTGAATCTGACGGTTTCTTAGCACCTCCCCTGCTCGAAGTCTGATCTAAGCCACCATCATCCCCACCTCCCTGCACTGAATGGCCCTTTTAAAAGGTACACGTTACTTTGTTCCTCTGTTCTAAACACTCAATAAGCTTCTCCTCTCACTCAGAGGAAAAGCCAGAGCCCCTAAAATGTTTTACAAAGCATTATCCTTTTTGACCTTCAACTCCTCTCCACCTTACTCAGTCTGCTCCAGCAGCACAGACCTATTGTTGTTTCTAGAACATGCCCAGTGTGTGCTCCCAGCTCAAGAGCCTTGTCATTAATGCTCCCCTTTGTCTGAGTGCTCTTCCTCCAAGTCCACGTCTCATCCCTCCATCCCCTTTCAAGTCTGCTCAAATGTCACCTCAGAGAGGAGACTTTCTCTTACCTCCTTATTTATTTATTTTTAATGGTCCCATCGTATTTTTTTTTTTTTTGGCTGCACTGTGCGGCATGTGGGATCTCAGTTCCCTCACCAGAGGCCTTGCCCCCTGCAGTGGAAGCGTGGAGTCCTAACCACTGGACTGCCAGGGAATTCCCTCTTACCACCTTATTTAAAATAGCAAACAACCCTCCATCAGCCCACCCCTTGCCAGCACTTCCTATCTTCTTTTTTTTTTTTTCACCACTTACCACCTTCAGATATATTATTTACTTATCTATTTTGTTATCTGCTTCTCTGCATTATGAGGGACAGAGATTTTTGTCCCCACCACCTAGAATTGTTTCTCATACCAAGTAGCCATTCACATGTTTGTTGAATGGCTGAGTGAATGCATAGAGTGATGGGTTTTGGCAAGAGAAAGTCCAAGTGATAAGCCACATGGCTCAGGCTGGGTCGGGAAGGCAGTGATGCCAGAAAGGGGCGTTTCAACTGAGAGAAAATGGATTTGTCAGAAAATGGGAGAATATCAAGTGAACTTATTTCTGTAGAATGCCTGAATGGAGAAATCTATGAGCAGCTGAATAAAGATGGTTGATACATCATTATGTGATATTTTTTATGACCTCAGCTAGCTTCCATTTTCACACAGAAAATTTTAACTGCTAAACAGCTTCCTGTCTATTAGTGCTTGTCCTTTTTACCTCTTCTCTTTAAATTGTTTTAGGTGCTTAAACTTCACCCTTGTTTAGCCCCTATTAAGGTTGCTTTGGATGTGGGAAGAGGCCCAACAGTGGAACTAAGACAGGTGGGTTAAATAAGTTTTAATGTCATGATTTCAATTATAACCGTTATTCCAAGTAAATGAGTAGTTTGCCATCTAAAGTTTTATTTTGATTCATTTTTTAAAAAATTCTAATTAAATAATGAACTGTGAACATATTTTAATTAAATAATGAAATTTTTATTAAATGAAAAAATCCATTTTTAATGAATTTTTAAATTTTTAATTAAATCATTCATTAATAATGAATTTTAATTAAATAATAAATACTACAGTTAATTACAGATAACTTGAAGTATATTATATTAAAGAAGCTGAATACAGTTCAGTGGGTTTTGTTGTTAATGTCATGCCCAGTCATAGCTGCATTCTTTTAAATGAGTATGCATAATTTTGGCAATCAAAATATTTGTACAGGGCTTCCCTGGTGGCGCAGTGGTTGAGAGTCCGCCTGCCGACGCAGGGGACACGGGTTCGTGCCCCGGTCCAGGAAGATCCCACATGCCGCGGAGCGGCTGGGCCCGTGAGCCATGGCCACAGAGCCTGCATGTCCGGAGCCTGTGCTCCGCAACGGGAGAGGCCACAACAGTGAGAGGCCTGCATACCACAAAAAAAAAAAAAAATTATTTGTACAGACGTCTAGTGAATTATTTCTTACCCTCTTCCCTTTTTAACTTAACACTTTTGATACTTTTTGGTATAAGCACAAGTTCTAAATCTGTAATCTTATTTTTCTAATCTATCTGGTCAAGTTAAATACTGTTAAGAAAAACCAGGACCCCTTCAGCAGTCATTTCTGTTTTGGTAACTCAGACCCATCCAGGGACCTGAGTGAGGATACTAGAAAGATTGACCTGGCTTTCCCGGGCTCCTGTGCAGGGGTCTGGGAAGGTGGGGATAATGAGCTCAGGGAAAGGGAAGAGAATGGCTTAATTTCCACATTCCCCCCAGGATTGCAGGAGGCTCCACAACACCCTGGTAGGTACCAAGTTCCTAGGGATTTTTTTGCTTGAAGGACAAAGAACTCTGCTTCCTAGATTTTCATCATTACCATTGCAGGCCTTTTGTTTCGTTTGGCTTTTGTTTGTAAGAACATTAGTAGTATTTTGTTTGTGCCTTGGGTGTTTTACCAGAAGAGCAGTGTCTTATTCTGTTTTTAAAACTTTTCCCCTCAGCAGTATGACAGAGAGAATCCTTATGTATGTAACTTTCTGGGCTATGAAAGAGGTTTTGTGGGTTATTTCCCCATGTCTTCACCTGCGCTTTATCATGCTTAGAACTTTTTCTCTCCTTTTCTACCTTCTGTTAGAGCACATTTTCTGCTGGCAACCAAAACTAAACTTACTAAAACTCATATTTATTTTTCCCTGATAATTTCTTAGATTTATTAATATCTATATTCTCATCTATCCCCAAAATATCCTGTACCTTAACACCCATTTACTTCTCTATGGTCTTTCCCTGGGAACTTGTTAGAAATGCAAATTCTTGCCAGACCTGCTGAATCAGAAACTCTGGGGGCGAGGCTGAGCCATCTGTGTTTTGCAAGCCCTCCAGGTGATTCTGGTGTTTTAAGTTTGAGAAACAGTGCTCTAGCTCAGGCACACACCCTTACCCCATCCTACCATCCTCCCCCTCTCCCTCCCCATGGGGACATTTGGTAATATCTGGGGGCATTTGGGGGGACATTTTTGGTTGTCAGAAGGTGGGGAACGGTGCTCCGGACATCTAATGGAGACCAGGGATGCTGCTAAACATCCTATATCAGCAGTGCCAATGAGAGAAATTCTGCTTTAGAATTTTAGTTCTAGATTGTTAAGGGAGTTTAAAATTTTTCTTTTTCTTCACCATTTTTAAGAAAACAGTAAAGTGTACTATGTCATTTACTCATCATTACTTCTGTATTTCCAATCAGGCTTTTGTCTCCAGCATTCCACTGAAACTAATCAATCATTCTTCTTGAAACATTTTCTTTAGTTGGCTTCAGGAACACCACTCTCTGGGTTTTCTTCATACTTTTCTGGCTCCTTCTCCTTAGTTTCCTTTAATGGCTCTTCCTTCTCTTCCTTACATCGTATTATAACCCTTAGGCTCAGTTCTCAAGTCTCAGATAAGTTTAGAGTTAACAGAGCCCTTTGGACTGTTTTTTTCTGATAGAACCCGTTTTGCTTTTGTTTATTTGTGTTATGAATGATGATAATAAAAATTCTTATATTTGGTATAAAAATTTCAGATTTGCATTTAGTATTCAGCTTTGCAGTGTTTAAGTTCTTCAGAAGAAGTATACAATTTATAAGTATACAATATATAGAATTATCAACATTATCATGTAATTAAAGGGATTTATGCCCACTTTAAAGAGTGAAAAAGATGATTGGTGGTTTCATAAAAATAGGGTAATAACTCTAGCTGCTTTTCTTTCTTTCATATTCAGAGTTTTTGTATTTTTCCCCAGGTTTGTCAAGGGCTATTTAATGAATTATTAGAAAATGGAATATCTGTGTGGCCTGGTTATTTGGAAACTGTGCCATCCTCATTGGAACAACTTTACTCAAAGTAAGAATTGTGTTTTTTGTTGCTTAAAAAATGTATTTATTCAGAGTTTTTGATTGTACGTTGTTTCTTTATGAGTAACAGATTTTTTCTAAATATCTATATATACTATAATTCTAAATTATTCCTAACTTTCCTGTTTACAGAACCACATACCCTTAGTTAATTGGTACAGCAGGAAACAATACTCATCAGGTATATATAAGCACATACTATGTGAAACTTCAAGACTTAACACCATGAAGTATGTGTACCTGAGTTTATCAGTTTATCAGGGATGGAATTATTTATATTAGACACATCTGTTGAATCAGGACTGAGGGAATATGAGTGGAGTGCCTTTTCCTTGCTGGCCTTGTTCATTCTCAGGCTGAGTGGAAGGTAATTCTATTCCAGAGAACAGAGAACTAGTTTTATCGGTGATCTGCACCTCTGTTTACCTGATTGCTCAAGACTGAAACCTGGATATTGTCCTTCACTCCTCCCTCTTCCTTAATGTCAGAGTCTAGTCCATCACTAACTATTGTCTTCCTCCTAAATGTATCTCATATCCACATCTCCCCATTAAGATCACCAGTATCTCTTGACTGGATTATTGAAATAATCTCCTAATTGATCTCCTGTCTCTAGTCTTACCCCCTGCTATTTTCATTAACTTCTGTTTTTTAATAAAATAATTCATTTTTCCCTACTTTGGGTTTATTTTGTTATTTTTTTAGCTTTTTGTGTTTAATACATATCTTTTAGGTGAAAAGTTGTGAAGCTTAGTGTTTTGCTCCTCAGTTCTGTAGTAACTTGTTAAAATATACCTTTCAGATGATGTCAGAAGAAAAATAAGTTTCTATAGATAAAGCAACTGATGGCTTTATCATATATAAAATGAAGGGGTGGTACTTGAACTTTCCAGTGTTTTCAGTTTCTAAAATCTTATCCTTTGAGTCATGTGGACAATATCAAGTTACAATTGTTCTTTACATGGTAAAGGCTTTATGTCCCAGGATACTTTTCTCCAGATATTTATTAAGCACCCACTATATTTTTTGTACTTTGATACAGCAGTAAACAACACAGAAAAGTTTCCTGTTCTTAATGACACTTATATTCTAGTGGGATAGAATAGACAACAGGCAAGTAGATAAATAAGATAATTTCTGGTGGAGTCCTAAAAGAAAAGAAACAATGAGATAGTATGACTGGGTAAACAGAAGGAAGGCCAGTGTGGAACATATTCAGTTATTGCTAAACTAGAAACTGTAAGTTAGTGTACTAAGGTATATATTTAGCATGGTTTTTGGTATAATTTGTTGTACACTATATCTTAATATTATAGTAGTATTATAAGAGAGTTTTGTCTAAAATTATTTTCTTGGATTGTATCCAAATACCAAAAGGCTGAGGTTATTCTGAGGTTCATCCAGATCACACCAAATGGTGTGTTGAGGTACCAGTGTTTATTTCTTATATTTTCTTTTCTTTTATGACTTCCCAGCTATTACAGTAAGTCAGAAACGTCCTGAAAATTTTACTTTGAAAATGATTCAGAAACTTGAAAAAAGTATTTTGGGGTTCACTTCTCAAGCCCTGCCTTTGAGTTTTGTGGCACTTTTTTTCCTTTCTTTCTTTCTTTTTTTATAGAACTTTAGTTGTGGTATACAGGAACTTTAGTTGCAGCATGTGGGATCTAGCTCCCTGACCAGGGATCAAACCTGGGCCCCCTGCATTGGGAGCTTGGAGCCTTAGTCACTGGACTACCAGGGAAGTCCCTGAGTTTTGTGACTCTTGAAGGTGGCATTGGCTCCTGAGTAATTAAAGCTGGTAATGTGGTGAATTTACAATCTATATTTGTGCTCACGTGTTTTGGTTAACTACCTTTTTTTCTTAGATATGATGAAATGAGTATCCTCTTCACAGTGTTGATTACTGAAGCTACTTTGGAGAATGGATTAATACATCTGAGGAGTAGAGACACCACAATGAAGGAAACGATGCATATATCCAAAGTAAAAGACTTTTTAACTAAATATATATCATCAGCTAAGAATGTATAGATTCTAATAGTTGTGTAATAAATATTCTCCTTTCCTAATTTGGTTGTCTTATTTAACTGAGATTATTATTAGTTTTTTTTAGCCTCTTTGCACTCAGAAGTGGATTTTTTGGTGCTTTTTTTGGTTCAGTTTTTATTACTTATATTTCTTGATGTATTTCATGGAATCAGGAATATGTTCAGCTATAAGAAACAAAAGGACTGCTATACTGGCTTAAGCAAATTGGAGTTTGTTTCTTTCATAACAAGAAATCGAGGGGGTAGACTGTCCAGAGCTGGTGTAATTGTTTCCTCTATAGTAGTTAGGGAGCAAGGCTCTTGGCTGTCTTTCCACCATCTTTAGTATATTGGCTTTTATCTTTATATATGTTTCTTCTTGGTCACAAGATGGCGGATGTATTTCTAGCCTTCTCAGCCGCATTCGAGTTAGGAAGAAAGTCAAAGAGATAAGAGCTAGCCAGCCAAGGCTCTTCTGTTTTTAATTAGGAAAGTAAAAGCTTTCCCAAACATCCCGGTCAGAAGACTTATTTACATTTTATTCTGTTTATCAGAACTGAATCACATGGTCATTACTAGGCCAGTCATTGTCCAAGGGAATGAGAATATCATGATTAATTTGGATCAAACACAATTTATCCCTTGGGGCAGTACTGTCTTGTCTTCTCTGAACTGGGTTTTGTTATCAGGAAAGAATGGTCTTTATATACACTGTCAAATATCAAAGATTAACCTAAAACTAAACTTTTAATAATGAGAACGTTTATTGACTTTTGCAAAGCAAGCTAAAATAAATGTTAAATGGCATAATCTAATATTAGTGTATTTCATGTCTGATTCTAATAGATATGTTTATAAGAAATCTTTAAACTTTTGTGTGCTGATTATGTTTGTGTTAACTATGTTGTCATTACCAACCTGACAAAAATTCTGATACTTTGTGTAAAATGTCTTAAAAGCTTGGTTGGCTTGTCTGAGTTGACTTTACTTAGTAGGTCTTTATTTTTTGGTTATTATTTTTTGCTCTTGGGGAGAATTTCAAACACAAACATACACAGAATAGTATAATTAACCCCATGTACCTATCACCCAGCACCAACAACCATCAACCCTTGACCAGTCTTGCCTCATCCACCCCACGTCGCCCTTCTACGTTATTTCGAAGCAGATCGCAGCTATCAGTTCATTTGTAAATATTTTAGTTCAGGATCTTTTGTTAAGTTAACCATTCTCACGCCTGAAAAAATTAACAGTAGATGATAATAGGAATTATTGAGAATTTCCTGGGTGTGATAATGATATTATGGCTTTATTTTTCTTTTTAAAAAGTCATTGTCTGATAGAGACACATACTTAAATATTTTTGAGTAAAAATATATGATATCTGAGACTTGTTTTAAAATTTAGTTTAAAAAAGTGGTAGAATATGGAGGGAAAATAAGGATAGTGCTGAGTTGTTGAAGTTGAGTGATGGGTACATGGGAGTTCATGTACCGCTTCTTTTTGTGTATGTTTGAAGATTTTAATAATAAAAAGTTTAAAAAACCAATTCTTTAATATCATATCCACTTAGTTTCCAGTTGTCTCATTGTTGGATCAGGATCCAAATAAGACCCATTTATTGAAGTTGGTTGTAGGTCTTTTAGTCTCTCTTATCCTTCCTTATACAATAGATTTGAGTTCTCTCTCACCTGCTCACACTCTTTTTTTTTTTCTTTCCAAGACATTTGAGTTGTTTGTTATGGTGTTTTCTACTGTTTGGATTTTGCTTATTGAATCCCCTTGGTGTAGTTTAACCTATTTCTCTCTATATATTTCCTGTAGATTGGGAATTGAATCCAGAGGCTTGATCAGCTTCAAGTTCAATCTGGCGGTGGGGGGTGGGCAAGATTATTTTATAGGCTGTATTCTCCCATCAGGGAGCAGTGACTGTCTGGCTGTTTCTCTTGGGGGAATGCTAGCAATCATTGACCAATGCCTAGATCATTCAGTTCATTAGAGGTGGCAAAATGGTGATATTCTGATTCTATCTTCCTTCTTTATTTATTAGCTAGAATACTTATATAAAAGAAAATGTCTCATCTGCTGTTTGCTTAGAGGTATGGGAAAGGTGGGAGAAATGCTGGATTTGTCCTCTTTAAAGTTGCTCTTTTTCATGCACAAATTGTTCTGTCTTTGGCCAGTAGGAGTCTCTTCATGTTGGCCTCAAGTCCTTTTGACACAACTTGAGTAGTCTTTGATAGCTTCCTTGGTATCTAATATGTAATATAGAGATTGTATAGTTTAGAGTTTCTCCAAGGAGCCCTGGTTCATTTTACTGGAAAACTGTTTGGAGACTATACTCTGGGTGCCATCACGAACTCACCAATAATTGCAATTCAAATTCAGGACTGGTGTGTGTGTGTGTGTGTGTGTGTGGATTAGCTTTATTGAGATATGATTTACATACAGTAAATTTACCTATTTTAAATGTACAGATTATGAGTTCTGACAAATGTGTAACCACTGCCACAATGATAATATAGAACATTGCCATCACCCCCTAAAAGTCCCCTCATTCCCCTTTAGGACTTAAGCGTTTTTACTTTAACCTCTTCTATCACACATCTGTATCTCCTCCCACATCAAGAATCCCAATTCTCAAGAATACTGAGGGTGATAAAATTAGAATGCCATGACACACAACTGCTCATTTGCTTTATCTCACCTTAACCACAGAACTCTCAGAACTGCAACGCCAGTATTCTCACCATATGTCTACTTAAAAGTTTAAATTTCATTTTTGCAGTTTGGGGTCCAATATTTAGTTTTAATATAACTGTGAGACTAAAATGTTTTTAAAAATTATTTTTCTGAAGAAAATCTCAGTCCTGCCCACAGGTACCTTTGTTTAGGTACTTTGTCTTCTTAGGGGCCTCAGTCTCACAGGAAGATTGTATTCCTGGTCTCAGATCAGCTGACTGCACTAACTGGCAACATGGAATGTCTATACTGCAGTTGAGGTAAGTAATATTTATGGAGGATTATCCAGATCAGAAGTGTCTGACTGGAGTTACACATCAGAATCTCCTGTGGAGCTTTTAAAAATAAATATATTTGAGCCCTATCCCAGACAGACTTACTATTTCTGTTAACAGTGGGGCCCTCGTAAGTATATTTTAAAATACTTACGGGTGGTTTCTGATGTTCACTCCTGTAGTAACCACTGTTAAATTTATCAGAGAGCTGCATACCTGGATGGTATTATTTTGACAAAACTTCCCTCCAGCCCAATTGCATTTAATAAATTTTTTTAAATCAAATACTCTTCTTAGGTATTACACCACACCAATATGTACTGAAACATGTTATTAGAAATAGTTCTATGAAACTCATTCTTCATTTAGCCATAAGAATGTCCTTGAGGGCATTTTTTTGCTATGTACACCAGGTCTTCCTGTGAGGAAGCATGGGAGAAATTTCTCTCAGATTTAAATGCCAGGGGTAGTTGTGCTTCTCCTAAAGACTGGCCTGTTATTATGTGTGTTGTATATCTGTTCATTTTGTTTATTCACAAAGGCTTTTTGAGCACCCAAGTACCAGGAACTCTAGGTGCTGGGGATGTAGTGGTGAACAAAACAGACAAGGCCCTTCTAGGGGTGGGGAGGTGGGGACAGACAATAAGCAAGGTGGTGCATGGGCAATTTCAGGTAATTTTGGGTAGCGATAGTGTTGTAAAATAAGACAGGATGGCGTGCTATATCATGCCTAGGGTAGTGTGCTTTACATAGGTGATCAGGGGAGCCTCTTAGGACTGGCCTTCCAGCTGAGACTGAATGATATGAAGGAGCCAGCTGTGTGAACATCTGGGGCAGCACATTCTAGGCAGAAGGGAGTAGCAAGTGCTAAGGCCCTTAGGAGGAAAATGGTGTAGAGTGAGCAAGGAACATAAAGCAGGCCAGAACAGAGGGGAGAAGGGGAGGTCAGAGAGGTGGTCAGGGCCCATGTTGCTTAGAGCCATGGGGGCCACAGTAAGGACTCTGGAAGCCACTAGGGCAGGACAGGGCACAGTTTGAGCAGAGAAGGGACATACTGTTATTTTGAAAAGATCACTGGAGAGTGGAATGTTAGAAGAGCTCTGACAATGCCCAGGTGATGGTGGCCAGGACAAGAGAGGTAGCAATGCCCTTCCTGGACCTGGCAAGAGGAGCCCCTACCCTTTAGAGCGTCCTGCTCTGGCCCTTCTCCAGCTGTGCCTTCCCCCACATTATGTCTGAGGGGCCAAGGAGATGTGCTTGGAGGTCATTGTAATCCTTAGGTGTCTAATTGTCCTAACCTATAAGTTTATGTACTACCCGAAATCTCAGTTACTGTCTCTGGTTGTGTGTAATAAAGGTCAAAGACAAGGCACTAGCCCATGTCCCTCCAGGGCAGTAAGAAAGAAAGAAGGAGCTTCAGACATCACTGAACCACTGTTGATCATTCCTCTGGTTAAGTCTCCCCTTTACATCCTTCAGGAGAAGCAGCACTGAGAGAAGGCAGTCTCCTTAGGTTGTAATCCCCCAGCTCTGGGAGCAGAAGGGGCAGGAGGGACAAATGCTTGAGGGCAGCTGGTCAGAGCACACCTATTTGCAGCTCTTCATCCCATCAAGGTTTTTGTGCTGCCCTGGTGTCACCTTGCAGATACTGCCTTTTCCTGGTTTCCTATTGGATTTTTGGCTTTTTTCTTAATTTGTGAGAGCTCATTATATATTGTAGAACTTCATACTTTATCAAAGACATGGATTCAAAATACCCCCCCATTCTTTTGACTTAGTTTAAGATTTTTAAATGTAATTTTTAAATGTTTCATCTAACTAAATTTAACAATCATTTATGTCTTCTGGATTGTGAGTCATACCTAGAAAAGCCTTTCCCTCTTAAAGATTATTATAAAATTCCTCCTGTTTTCTTTTAGCACTTCTGTGGCTTCATTTTTAGGTATTTTAATATTTGAGCTAGCTGAATTAATTTTGTTGCAAAGAATGAAGTGGAGTTCTAACTTATTAAATATGGTTCTCAAG